CTGCTGCCGGTGTTGCTGTAAAGGAGAGGTATTTGAGTCGGGTGATCGAGAGTATGAAGATGATGAAGATTTGGCTAGGGTTTCGGGAAGCGGGACGAGGAGAAGGAAGGGTTTTGACCGGGGGATTAGAGATGGAGAAAGAGAGAGGGAGTATGGTTATGAGGAGAGGGAAGGATCGAGAAGGAAGTTGGGGTCTCATGGGAAGGATGGTTATGGAAGGGTTTCGACAAATGAGATGAGAAGGAAGTACGGAGACAGCGACGACGATAATTTGGTTAGGGTTTTGAGAAATGGGAGGAGGAGGAAGTATGACGAAGATGATGAAGATTTGGTTAGGGCTCCGGGAAATGAGAGGAGAAGGATGTATGAAGATGATGATGGGGATTTGGGTAGGAGGAGGAGGAGGTACGAAGACGATGATGATGATTTGGTTAGGGTTTCGAGAAATGAGAGGGGAAGGAAGGATTTTGATCAGAGATTGAGAGATGAAGAGGAGAATGTAGCTTCGTGGAAGGATTGCCGCCGTGAAGCAAGAGAGAAGGATTATGATTATGAGGATAGAGAAGCTTTAGGTAGAGAGAGATATGCTAAGTACAAGAATGAATCATATGGGAGGAATGTTGATAGAGGAGAGAGCTCGAAGGCTTTTGATAAGAGGTGGAGTGAAATAGATAAACGTGTAGTTGGGCAAGAAGTTAGGAAGTACAAAAATGATGAAGATTTGGTTAGGGTTTCGAGAAATGAGATTAGAAGAAATGAGTTTGATCGCAAAATTCGAGATAAAGAGGAGAATATTGCATCATTGGATAGAGAGAGATATTCGGAGTACAGGAATGAATCCAGGAGGATAAATGTGGATAGAGGAGAGAGCTCTACATCTTTTGATAAGAGGCAAAGTGAGATAGATAAACGAGTAGTTGCTCAAGCTGATTCAAGAAATAGTTCATTACGAGCTGGTGATGTCGAGAGGTTGTCTAACTTGCAGGGACGCTATGATGAAGGAAGGATGAAGGATCGAGAGGAAAGGCTAAGTTCAGTGAATTTTTTTTCTCAAGTGACGAGGGATGAGAGGATACAAAACGATCAAAATGCAGTTGATAAGGTGGAAATAAGCGAGCAATATGGAACAAATGCTACTGATTCTAGGTATCGTGTAAGTGATACTGAAGGGGCCAATAATTCGAAGACTAACCTTGAGATCAGCAGGGATGATGAAATCTCATCCAGTTCGCACAGACACTTTGAAGAAGAAAGAGTGAAGCATAAGGAGGATAAATCTTCCTCAGTTGAGAACTCAGTTCGGATGAGGATAAATGAAGTGTCTAATGTGAACCAACAATCTATAAATCAGCAGTATATTGATCATCAATATATTAATCAGAAGTATGAAAATCGATCTAATTCTTCTAAGATTCATGCGAGTAGCACTGAAAGGGACAGCAACTCAAAGAACTCTCTTCGGATTAGAGCTGATGATCGAGAACAGCATTTAACTTCTAATCTGGTCTGTAGATCTACGGACGAGTCAAGAGTTGAATCTCAATTGAATTCTAGTGTATCTGAGTTTAGGCGGGATGAAGAAAGGGTTTCTGATTTGCAACAGGTGGCAACTATAAGACCAGAGAACGAAAGAGAAACTTCCTCATCAGTCATGATTCATGACGAGAGGGATAATAGGCAAAAGAGTAATCTCATTGAGGAGAGTTCTTCGCAAGTGAAAGGCGATGCAATGGATTCAGCTAGTAGATATGATGAATCTTCTGCAATGTATTTGGGTGAGTTTGTTGATAAACTGTGGCAGGAAAGATTAGCTTTAGAAAGTTCTGAACTTCACATGGGTGAGTTTGTCGAGAAACTAAGGCAGGAAAAATTAGCTTTAGAAAGTTCTAAAGGTAACAAGGGAAAAACTCACAGAGAGACTTATAAAGAAATGACTGCTGCAGACGTTGATGTGGATGATGATATCACCAGACACGGAGTGAAGTATATAGAAGAAAGTGGAAGGAAATGTTCATCAAGGCCTGCAATGAAAGGGCCATCTGATGAGATGTGGGAAGTAAAGGGCATGTCTTCTCAAGAACCTTCCGAAATAGAAGGAAAACAAGAAGAAGACACTGAGAAGGAGCCTCTGGTTGCAGAAGTCGTGGACTCTAATATTTCTCCAGGTATTGCTGAAAGTGTCATCAGTAGAAGATCTCACAAATCTTTATGGGCTTATATTGCTGATATAATGAAGATTGGTTGGGCACACCGTGCTGGAAGTCAAAGCTCCGTCAAGAAATCGGGGAGAAGTTCATCGAATGTGTCTACAAGCAGCGAGGCTTGGTTTGAGCCAGACGAGACCCATGATGAGACCGAGAAGGAGAAAGATGTCTCGCAAAAAGCACCACTGCCCTCAAAAAATCCTACAGAGAATGCGTCAACATCAACAAGCACCGTGAAAAGAGGTTCATCTTCATCGTTTAAGAGCGTTTCAGCAGCGGAAGAAATAGAGCTGCGAGAAAGTGAAAAGATAAGAGGTGATACTCTTTCTAGTGAAACAATTACTGAGCAGTCATTAATTCCTACAATAAACACGGCTTCATCTTCACTCTGTGAATCTGGAGGTTTTCAGATGCAGAGAAGTAATGCTCCTGAGTCTGAAGAGGTGTCTGGTAGGCAAAAACAACTTGAAGCCACTGAAATTGGGGAAAGCTACAGGGGACTGAAGAAAAGGAATGACTCACTGAAAGAATCAACACCAACAATGATGAACGTTGAACAATCAAATCTAGGTCCCTCAGGCTCAATGGAGACCATGAGAAGAGCTTCATCGTTGAAAGGTGTAAGCCTAGTTTCCAGGGAAGAAGTTTTCAAGCCAAATGGTGGTGATAAGGGGCAGGGTGTTGTCTCTGCTGTGGACGAGTCATCAGTGTCGACAGCTAAAACGACTCCACCTTCAATGCTTGAAATTGAAAGTGTTCAGAATGCAGGTGGCAGATTACAGAAACTAGAAGAGATCACTGAAATTGGGGGAACTGAGGGGGAGCTAAATAGGAGGAAACTTCAAAAGAACAAAAAGGTCTTGAGAGGACAGTTTGATGATTGGGAAGAAGGTGTTGTCTCTGCTGTTAACCAATCATCAGTGTTGACAGCTAAAGTTACTCCACCTTTAATACCTGAAACTGGAAGTGTTGAGATTGCAGGCAGTGGATTACACAAGTTAGAAGAGATCACTGAAGGGGAGAAACTGCCAGAAGTTACTGGAACTGAGGGGCAACTGAGAGGGAGGAAACTTCAACGGAACAAGCAGGTATTAAGAGAACAGTTTGATGAGTGGGAAGAAGCATATAAGCTTGAAAGTGAACAGCGAAAGATGGATGAATTCTTTATGAGGGAAGCTCTGTTAGAGGCTAAGAAGGCTGCAGATACTTGGGAGGTTCCAGTTGGGGCTGTTTTGGTTCAGAACGGGAAGATTATCGCTCGTGGCTGTAATCTGTGAGTTGTATTTAAACCACCTTCTTTTGATTCATTTGCAAATTTCGGTCTATATTATCATATTTAAGTATTGTATGATACTTTTTATGTACAGAGTTGAGGAGATGAGAGATTCTACTGCACACGCTGAAATGATATGTATCCGTGAAGCGTCTAATCTTCTTCGGACATGGCGCCTTGCGGTAGCATTTCTAATTTTATTTTCATTCTTTTTTGTATTGTATGTTCTGCCTATGTTGATGATGTTGATGGGAATTTTGGAAAAACATAATCCAAGCAGCCAAATGAAATCAAATGATCGTTTATTCAAGCACACTGGGGTTTTCCAAATTAATCCATCAGTTATGGAGCATCATGCACAAAAAGGACTATTAGTGAAATAAGACAATTGACTGCTGATGAGTTGGAGTAAATGAAATAGTTGACATATAGGGTACTTGCTATTGTATATAGATACCTAAAAAAAGTTTGATAACGTTATTACACACACATATACTGAAGATAGAGCAGCTAACTGCAAAACAACTTACGCAATTAATGCTGGGATTGTCATATAGATTATGCAGAAGGTATTCATCAGGTGACATAAATACTTTGTGCACATCTGGATTGTCATATATATTTGAAATGTTATGGAACTTTAGACCAAACAAACAACGGAATAGATCCGTATTTCCACAATTTCTACAATTTCCGTAAAATTGTTAGTTTGAATTTGTTAATATATATAGAAAATTTCCATGAATTTTCCATCATCTTCTTTGCTCCACTATGCTTGACATATAAATTTCCAGTTTGTCACATGAATGCCTCCTCATTTTGGGGGAAAAAAAAGACTTTTATCACCTTTGTTGTCAAGGAAATGCTCACTTGTTATTGAAATTACCATCACATAAGTCTATGTTGCACCCTTAAAATTTTCCGGACCATATTATTTTTAGTTGCATACTGCACATGTAAATGGCTCTTTTCTCTGTGTTTATCTTGCAGTAATCAGTTTAGTTCCACTTATGTTTGATACACATGCCGTTTGAGAAAAATGTAGCATACATACTACTTGGCAATTATGAGTTCGAATGCAAATTTTTTTCTTTATTCGATTAAAGCCTTTTTTGTGCAAATTGTTCACAGGAGACTACCCTTTACGTGACGCTTGAACCATGTGCCATGTGTGCTGGGGCTATTCTTCAGGCTAGGGTTGATACTGTGGTATGGGGAGCTCCAAACAAGCTATTAGGAGCTGATGGCAGTTGGGTCAGGTACATCTTGTCTCTGATTTATACTTGATTACTATCTGATTAAGATAGCCAGAGACAAATATTTCAATCTATGTCAGCAGCACTTGTGTTGTAAACATAGAGCTGTAAATGATGGACCTACGTTTAGCATGTGCAATAAATGATCTTTGAAAATCTATAGAGGTTTGTTTAATTCAAACCAAGCCTTGACCCGGATGAATTATATTCAACTCATAATTGGTAAATATGTGACAAATTTTGGCTTTGGTTTTATTCCATTCCATGCTTTAGCCAGAGTTTTCCTATTGCATGCTTGTTCCTGACCGTTCCCTGTATTCTTTCCTTTAATGATTGTGCTTTGTATTCATTGGATTGCATTTGTTGACAACTTGGTCCAGAATGATGGTATATGGTAGTACAAGTTACTGGTCACGGTTGTTCAGGAGTCACTCAGGACTAGGGTTTCCTGGTTGTACACTGAAGTTTGACTTTTTTTCCCACATTACTAACCTCCTATTTGGGTATGATATGTTAGCACCTCCATTGTTATGATAATTATTTATTCATGCTTTTTTTTGGCCTTATAAAATGTGGATTCAACTTCTTGTTATTCTTCTTAAAACATGTTCACCTATGTCTGGCATCATTGGGTAGAATCCGGGCCTCAACTTGTCCATGTTTTTCTCCTCAACCCATAAAATCATTGCTAGACGGATGAAATAAAATCTTTGGCAGGTAAGAAGAAAGAGTACGAAGTTTCAAAAATTGATTCATTTTCTTCCGGCTTAGTTTCTTTGAGGTCCTGTATTTTTAAGGGAATGTTAAAAAAGCGAACGTGTGGTGTAACTCAGCCTCCCAATAGTTTAAAGCACTCACAGGGTAACTCATAGCATAGGTCACATGTTTGTTATTTTAAGAAATTTAAAAAATACTCCAATAATTTTAATAATTAGGAACATGATTTCAATACCGAAATTGGCATCCTTGCCTGCTCAGTGATGGTGCCATTGCCATGGGAGAAGCAGAAGGGAAGTCGGTGATGGAAGTGGAGCTCGACAAAAGGGGAGAGGAGGAAGAGGAGTTCACACCTTTGTCAGTGTCAGTTGACGTTTTTGTCCTCAGGGAAGAAAGAGGAAGGGGAAGAAAGAGGAAGGGGAATCCAGCATCATTGGGGAAGGAGTATTAGGGATCAGGTCAGAGGAGAGGAAGTTAGCACTGTTTGTGGTTGGGGTGTGTCACGTTTATAGACCAAGCCTGACACCTGCTTAATGAAATAAAGGGTTAATTGCTGTAGACCCCTGCGCTATCACCCAATTGCAGATAGACCCCCTATAGTTATATTGTTGTAGATAGACCGCTTGAGTGAAACTTTTTTATTCTTTTACCCTCATAGAGAAACAAAATTTCCTTTTGAGAAATAGACCTCGGTAAAAGAATCGAAAAAGATCAATGTTTTAAAAAGCTAGCCTGCCTAGGTGCCCGCCTACATCTAGATGGGGCATAGACGGCCTGCCTAGGTCTTGAGAGCGCCTAGAGAGGAGCGTGGATTGCTTATGCGGACTGTACTACTTAGGTCTTGGTTGTGATTTCCTCCGCAATTCTCCTTGTCCTCCAACCTCCTCCGAACTCTTTTGGCCTCGTCCATTGACTATGAACATTTCCTCTACCTTCTCCGACTTTGAAAATACCTCCCCAACACAAAAAGAGAAACTGGCCTAGGTGCCCAGGCTCCCGCCTAGCCACCTAGGCTCTAGGTGCTGTGTGCGGTGCCTAGGCCACCTCGGCTCTAGGTGCTGTGTGCGGTGCCTAGGCCACCTAGGGGTCTATCCCCAATAATAGAAGTACATGAGTCTATCGGTAATTGGGCGGTAGTATAGGGGGTCAATTCACAATTTACCATAAAATAAATTTGTGTAATGCATGCTACGGTATACGTCGAGGATTTATAACAGAGCACATGCTATTTGGATTCAAGCTCATGCAACTTAGACTTGTGACACTTGCAAAACACTAAATTGCATCTGCGCTATCTGATTGTGCTTTGTGATGCTATGTAATGCAATTTTTCATGTTATATAGCATGTTTATAACATTGGTTTAACTTTTATGAAATGCTCAATCGCCTGTCTTTCTTAGGTTATTTCCTGGAGACGTAGGAACTAGCAGTTTAGACTCCTCAAATCAGAGCGCAGGTCCTGTCCATCCCTTCCACCCGAAGATCAGAATAAGGCGAGGCATCCTTGCAACTGAATGCGCAGATGTAATGCAGCAGTTCTTCCAGCTCAGGAGGAAGAAGAACAAGAAAGAGCAGCAACCATCGCCGCCCTCTTGGATATCAACTAGACCACACAAATTCTTTGCAAGGATGCACGATGTCTTCTCTGTGATGTTTTGCTTGTAGAAATTGAGGTATGTTTGATGTAGTTGTATGATTTGTTGGTATTTTCTTCTAGTGTAATCAAAAGTTCGATTCCTGTTGTGTCAGAATAGTAGTTGAATAAAAGTTTTGCTTCTGACTGTGTTTTCTCCAACCATTCTAATTGCAGTTGTGTCCTTGATTCAAGCGGAAAATGCCTAGTTTACTCTCCACATTGTTCTATTTACATATTTCATATCTTGATACCGTTAGTTCCTACTTCCTTTTGAACTCTCCATATTTTTTTTACTGCATATTGCATACACACCTAATCATTCGTTGGGGATAATCTCTTGAAGCTAAGAGGAAGGTAATTCAAATTTGGCCAACATTTGCACCTCTGTTAGCATTCTCAAGTTTTATGACATAAATTTGCTGAAGAAATTTGATAGGAAACAGAAAAGTGGTATATTTCTTTCAAGTTCTGTTGTATAGAAGTTAATGTATTCATCAATCATCACTGATTCGCTAGTGCTTCTTTCAAGTTTTATTATATAGAAGTTAAATGTCATTCATCCATCATCACTTGTGGATGACTGCGTTTGCATCGTCAAGCTTCATTTACTTCATAATTATAAATTTGAGAAGCCTCCAACCAAGCCTTTTGATATTGCTGGATCTGCTGTAAACAGCTCAGGTGCTGGGGAATAAATTCAAAGGTCATGAAGCATTACTAGGGCTGGGCATATTCGGTTCGGGTCGGTTTTAAGCCCAATTCGCATCCAATCCAAAATTTTCGAATTCTCAAAACTCTCATCCAGATCCAAAATTTTCCCCTTCATCCGAATATTCGGCCCAACCGAAATTCGGATCGGTTCGAATCGGTTTCGGTTTTGGGCCGAATTACTTCCAATTCACAAAAATCTGCCCACACCTAAGATCATTGCCTATTAATTTCTGATGAAGTATCATTATTTGTCCATTTTGTCTACTTAATTTTTTCCCCCAAACAATAAAATGTGGAGCTTGTTTGAAGTAACACCATTGTCACAACTAACAAAAAAACTAAAATCAGTGAAATGAGCGCAAACCATATCAACAAGTACATACCATACCACAATAATAAACTCATTAAAGAGTTACTTAGTTACAAACCATGCAAATAGTCCAGAAATAGTTAGGGTTAGGGATTTTCAGTATTTATATTAGAAAATTCGGTTCGGTTTTTTTGGGCGGTTCAGGAGTTCAAATCGGATCCAATCCGGTTTAATTCGGTTCAGACGGTTTAGAGTCTTCTTCCAATCCATTTAATCCGGTTCGGTTAACCGGTCCGTTTTTTCGGGCGATTTTTTCGGTTGAACCGGTTTTTTTTCGGTTTTTGCCCACCCCTAAGCATGACAAGCTCCAGCAGATAATAATGATAATGATAACAGTAATGAAATAAAAAAAAAGAAAAAAACCATCTATTACATTTTGTCCTCTGATTTATCCGAGATTACCGATAATTTTAGAAATTGACATTCTCCCTGCTCATCAAATTAATTCTATTATATGCGTTCTGTAGCTTGACGTAGCAGGCTCTCAATGTGGTAAAATAACTGGAAACACGGAAGCACATTGTAGTGCCTAGGACGACGCTTGTCCCTGCAGTAGGTGAATTCATCAACGCAGATGCTGGCCAATGTTCACAATTAGGCGATACTAAGGGGGTCTATCCGCAATTAACCCTTATAAAAGAACAACCTTCTGAGGATTTATTTATAAAGTAAATTGCATACAACTCTCCTCATCTAATCTTCAACGGTACTAATCACTAAACTGATAAAAAAGAGGGGTTTTTTTTTTTGAAAGAAAAACAAGGGATGATCCCTGTTCATAATATAAAAGATAAGAACAGTATTAGATACAAAAGACGGACACGAAATGTATCATGTAGTTAGTAGATAGAAAATATATTTCAGCTTAATAGGGACGTATGACTTTCTTCTTTCAAATATCCATGAAGATGAGGAGTGGGCCTTGCCGTCACTCATCGTTGACACAGATATAAGAAAGAACCAAAGCCAGCCATACGTATATTAAGTTGAACATAAGTTCTATAGACTAACTGTTAAAAAACAAAAACTGTAACAGAATATAGTATTCAAAACATATGTCTTTGGAAAAACCCAAAAAAAAGAAACAGCTCCTGAACTTGTTTAGTCTATTTTAAGCATTTGTCCTGCTGATTGGTTGCGCTTCCAGCCTTGCTGACAATCTCTTAGCTCCTGAACTTGTTCCAGCACCTGCCCACTCATATATACCAGAAACAGCTTTGTTGATAATAGCTTTATAAGAGAAGATTCTTTGATCAAAGATAAACTTGTTTCTTGTAATCCAAATATTCCAACATATTGCAGAGAAAATTAAGCGCCATAAATCTCCTTCAATCCCTCTTAAATGCTCAATAACTTGTAACAGGTTCGAAAGTGACAACGGCCATTGGAAAGACAAGGAGTAAGATTTAAAATGTGACCATACTTGCATAGATAATGGACATGAAAAGAAGAGATGATCTCTGCATTCAGGTTCCAAACCACAGAATACACATGAAATGTCACCCTGCCAACCTTTTACCAAAAGATTGTCTTTAGTGTGCAACTTATTATTGAATAGAAGCCAGTTAAAGATGCAAACTTTGCTTGGGATGATAGAATTCCAAATCACTTTATAAATAGGAGATTTAATTCCTCGAGAAATGAGGAAATTGTAGAGAGATTTGACTGTGTAGACTTCATTCGATGTGAGAGACCATCTTGGAAGATCATGAAGGGTATTGATACTGCAAGATTCAATGGTATTCCTGAAATGTACTCTGTCAATCTGAGATGAAGGTGATATACATCTCCTAAGTAAAGGATGCCAAAGCCATGAATTGTTGCAAAAGTAACCCTGACTACAGACCAGAACATTGCTAGAGAGTGATAAAGTATACAATGTAGGATATAAGCTAGCTAAGGAGTTAAACCCCAGCCATTTATCCTCCGAGAGTGATAAAGTATACAATGTAGGATATAAGCTAGCTAAGGAGTTAAACCCCAGCCATTTATCCTCCCAGAATCTAATTTTGTCTCTTGAACCAAGTTTCCATATAACATGATGAAAGAAGGCTTCCTTATGAGATAGAATTCCATTCCAAAAATATGAATTAGAATGATTTATTTTGGAATTTTGAATGCATGAGTTCCTGTCTTGATATAGATGTCTAAGAAAAGCACCTGTAGTAGAACTATTATCCAAGTATTTCCAGAGCCATTTGGCTAAAAGGGAAGTATTGAAAACAGATAAATCTTTGACCCCTAGTCCCCCTTCAGACTTATTCAAGCATACTTTCTTCCAATTACTCAAACACTTGAATGCATTTGTATTAGCCGTTCCTGTCCAGAGAAAGTTTTTTCTGATCTTGTCTAACTCTCTTATTAGCCAGTTAGGCAGGTTGTAAAAAGACATATAATATAAGGGTATTGAAGATAGGACTGAGTTTAAGAGCACAAGTCTACCACCAAAAGATAAACAATTTTTCTTCCATGAAGCCAATTTCTTGTGCATGTTATCTATGAGTGGTTGCCAGTCAGCCTTAGATAATTTTCCATACTTAAGAGGCAAACCAATATATTTTATGGGAGTTTGATCCACTCTACAGTTTAACATGGATGCAAGGCGAGTACCTCTGTTTGTAATGTTACCAAAGTAAAGCAACGAAGATTTTGAATAATTGATACCAAGACCAGATAACTCTTCAAAAATATACAGGATGGTTTTGAGAATAGAAATATTATGATAATCACTTTTGACCAAAAGTAGAGTATCATCCGCATATTGAAGAGATCTCAATTGATTTAAAGGTTCTTTGATTCCAAGATCAGATAATAATCCCACTTCAACATTGCTCTTTATCATTCTATTGAGCACATCCACTGCAATATTAAATAACATAGGAGATAGAGGGTCACCCTGTTTAAGTCCTCTATGACAATTGAAAAATTTAGAAGGCTGTCCGTTAATTAAGACTGCACAACTGGAAGAGGAAATAATGTGCTTAATCCACATACACCATCGATCACCAAAACCTCTTCCTTTGAGTAAAGATATTAGAAAGTGCCAATCTATAGAATCAAAAGCTTTGGTAAAATCTATCTTGAACATGGCAACTTCTTTTTTCCTTTTTGAACAGAAGTGTATCATCCCATTAGCGAAAAGAATAGAATCAAGGGTTGATTTGCCCTCTTGAAAAGCAGACTGAGTTGAGGCCACTAATTTTGGCATATAAGGAGCTAGTCTTGTTGCTAGGATTTTAGTGAAGATTTTAAAGATACAGTTTATCAATCATTTTGATATTCTAGAGGAACAAAGATCTCTATCTGATACTGAAACAGAAGCAAGAAAAGCTCTGAGAATATCCTTTTTATCAATCATGAAGGAAGAAGAGACATACTGGCATCAAAGATCTAGAGTTCAATGGCTTCAGGAAGGTGATTCAAACACTAATTTCTTTCACAAAACTGCTTCTTTTCATAAAAAGGCCAACTATATTTCTCTTGTTTCACATCAAGGTAAGGAGTTTACTAATCAATCAGATATATCCAAGGCCTTTATGGATTACTACATCAACTTATTTGGTAACTCTCACAGCAGCAATCTATCTATAAATTGGTCATCTTTATACCCTGATCATGATCTAAATCTTTCACCTTTAGATAACCCTTTCTCAGAACAAGAAATCAAGGCAGCTGTTTTCGGTATGAAACCAAATAAAGCCCCGGGTCCAGATGGATACTCCATGATCTTTTACCAAAATTTTTGGAATCTTATCAAGTTAGATCTTATTTCTCTCATGAATTTCATCTATTCTGATTCATCAAATTTACATAGAATCAACAAAGTTTTTATCACCCTTATTCCAAAAGTTAAAAAAGAGGGGGGTTATAAGCAATTTATCCTTCTCAAATAGTTGAATAGTGATGACTACTAGGGGTCATCTGCAGTTTACCATTTTTATAAAAAGAGATCAAATTTTTGCCACGCTGTTTGTGGAAAATTTGTAATAAGAAAATGAAGGAAAGAATTGTATTTGATTTTATTCTCTCCAACTGCTTAGAAAAAGAATGTTTACAACTTTCTCAACTCTCGATTACA